CTACTTTAAGGCAGACCAAAGCAATAGACAAAATGCAACATCTGGGGTTGATAACAATGAGGAGAAAATGAAGGAAGTGGTCCAAGACAAAAACAGTTAACTTATGCTTCAAATAGTAAACAGCAAAAAGTAACAGTCAAATAGTGTATTTAGAAATCAGAAGGAAAAAGAAAAATATCAGATGGTTTCACTTATAGCAGGAATATAGGGGAACCAAATAAGACATCAGCGTAAAAATATAATAACAGCACAAAACACAGCAAAGCAAAAACGGACAATTATAAATCAGAGACATCCTGCAGGGGAGGAGGAGGGAGAGGGATCAGAGGGAGGGATGGAGGAGCACAGGGGACTGAGGTGATGGTGCACGGGTGCATTGGGGAAGGAAACTCTATGGGGACTACACCTGAGGGGGTGGGAGGAAGCAAATATTGTTCAAAAATGAACAATTATGTAAAAAAAAGTAATTAATAAAAAAGAAGAACAAAAGAATGAGAAAGAAAGAGAGGAAGGAAGGAAGGAAGGGAGGGAAGGAAGAAAGAATTTGGGGCCTCCCTAGTGGCACAAGGGTTTAAGTCTCAGTACTATGAAGCTATCCACAGCCACTGCAGCACAAGTTCTATCCCTGCCCAAGGAGGTGGCCCACATGGCGCAGCAGACCTCTCCTGTCTCGCCCGCTGCTCCCCTCAGCAGTGTATTTCAGTAGATCCTCCTGTTCTGCCCCCACTCTGTCTCCCGTGAATCCACTCCCCAATCCCCAGCCCCACAACTCTGGCCTACAGGCCAGCTCTCTCTACATAAATAAATAAATCCTTAAAAAAAAGAAGTGCAGGCTCCCCAGTGGTGCAGCGGGTTGAGTGCAGTGCTGTGAAGCTGCCCACAGCCTCTGCAGTGCAGGTTCGATTCCCGGCCAGCCAGGGAGATTCCCACATGGCACAGCAGACCTCTCCTGTCACACCCACTGCTCCATCTGCTTGTTCTGCTCCCTGCTCTGACTCTGGTGAACTCTCTCACTCTCCAGCAACTCTGGTCTGTACCCCAGCTCTTGTATAAATAAATAAATCTTTTTTTAAAAATGCATTTGTTATATATTTCTATATAACAAATTACCATACAATTTAGCAACTAATAACAACAAATATTTATTATCTCACTGTTTCTATGGATCAGTAATCTGGGCATGACACAAGAGTTGCCTCTCCTTATAGATCTCTCACAAGGTTTCAGTGAATGTGTTGGTCAGGGCTGTGCTCTCATCTGAAGGTTTGACTGGAGAAGGACAGGGTCCCAAGCTCACTCACATTATTGTTCGGAAGATTCACATGTTCTTCTTGGGAACTTAGTTGTTGGACTGAGGTCCTAAGTTCCTCAATGACTACTGGCTACTGCCTCCCTCAGCTTCATGCCACACGGGCCCCTCCACAGGGCAGCTCATGGTAGGAAAGTGTGGACCAAGCAAAAGTAGGTCTACACATACAGGAGGACAGCTGGCCTCGCCATTCTTCATATCCTCCTGCCTGGCCTTCCTGAGAGAGCAGAAGAGAAGCTGCTGGCACAACCATGACTAAAAATGGGCAGGGAACAGCTAGCTCTGAGCACAACAGTGTTGCTCTGAGCTGGCCCAGCTGTCTCCAGGTGCTTTGCACTCTTCAGCCTGAAACCAGACACCATAACAGCTCCAAAGAGCAGTCTTCCAGGGACCCCTCTCTTCCCCCCTATAATGCAGAGATCTAGAACTTCTACCACATCAGCTGACTTCTCAAACAGTTTTTACTTTCAAGACCAGTCCCTGTCACAATCCAAACACCGCAGAAGAGAAGGGGATGATTTGAAGTCCCTGACAACTTAGGGGTATGGCTGTATCAGAATACTCTCATGCGGCCATGGCAAGGATGAGAGAAAAAAAGGATTCTGAGCTTTCAGGAGAGAGAACTATTAAGGGACTGTAGTGAGGAAGAGACATTAGAGACATTTGTCTCTGTCACAATACAACACAGGTGAATTCCATCAGAGACAAGGCCTTTAAAAACTAGCCCAGTTACACAGAAGATGCAGCAAGACCTGGACACCTGTGACCTTGTTGACAAAGATGCATGAAGAGGGTGAACACCTATGAGGGTGAAGGGCCTTGGAGGCAAAGCTGTGAACCCCAAGTAGTAATTGCATTGGATGTGCAAAGAAAATAATCTTCCCACTGCAGAACGTGCCTGCCTGTTAACTACCTCCCAGTGGAAGAATGGAGGTTCTTTTCATTTGCAGCTCAGTAGGATATTAAAAAAAAAAAAAAAAAAAAAAAACCAACCACTTTTCCCCATGATAGCTCTGCCCAAGCAGACACTAGGGAGAGATTATTTACGGCATTTATTCCACTTTGGTGCTGTCCCTGCAGGTTATAATTGCTGAAGCTATAGGGGTGATGAGTAGGGGACATAAGACATGTCAGTGGTCTGCCTGTTAGTTAGGTGTCGAGTAAGTGAAAGGATCACATGCAAAGAGTTTCCACAGTATTGCCCCTCTTCTCGCACTGTGTATTAAATGGCTAAGTTATTCTCAGTGTAAGATTCCCAAGTGACCTCTCTTGATAGGGCTAAAACATCTGGAATTCACAAAGAAAATTTTACCTCAAGAGGAGCTTTTATTATTGATGCCAATGAATACTGTGCCCCAGGCACTACCTAACCCAAAGGCTCCATGTGCACTTCACAGCCATCATGACGACCATCACCGTAGATGAGAAAACAAAAAAGGCAGGAGCTGGATCCTCTGTCTCCTGCACTCTGGGTGGGAGGGATTTTCCCTGGTTCATAGTGACTTTCCCTGAAACTCCTCTAGGCTCTACTTTCCATCAGTTGGGAGGCAAATTGGATTGGGCAAAGAAACCTGATGTTCATGAAGGATCTTTCTTTAGTATTTACAAATATCCAAATTATAAATAATATTTGTACACTATTCCTTCTGAATTATACAATCATGCCATTGCCTACATACCACAAGCTAAAAGTCTTAGCATCATCATTCAATTTAGTGTCTTGTTTCTGGCAAGACTACTCTCACAAGTGTCTCCCCATAGTCCCCAGTATCACTTCACTCTACACCATCTCTCTCCAAGAAGTAGTTTTAGGGTTTTGTTGTTGTTGTTGTTTTTTATACTTTTGAATTGTTTTGTTTTTCCACTCCATGAGAATTATGACTCAACAAAGAGTAGAAGACAATAAAGTTAGGCTGAGATGCTTGGCAGTAAATTATACCCATTCAATTTTTATCTACGGGCAGTCTCACCAGGTTTGGGATTTAAATTTGTGCCCTAGAAAAATGACAAATCACTTATATGTCATGGTCTTCAGAACTGCTAATAAACATAGTGCTTACAGACATAATTTAAAAATTATAAATCAGAAACAGAGAAGTGAAATGGCCAAGTGTCCAAGCGATCATATACGGTTCTTTCAATAACCTTACGAGATGGACAAGAATACTGCTCCCATGACATAGGTGAGAAAAAGCACAGCTTGACCAATCCCTGTTTCAGCAGAGCTGTGCTCTGCACCCAGAGAAAATGCATATGTTGCCTTTTCTCAAGGAGAGGGCAAGTGAATGTTTTTACTCCTAACTGATGTGGACCACATCTTCACAACATAAGTGGTGTAGAGTTTTAGTTTTGGATTCTGTCATTGGGAGGGAAAAAGGTCTCTGAAAGTGATCTCTTCTTCCACAACTCTTATGACACCTAAAAGAATAATCATGGCAATTATATATCACAAATGGAGAAGTGATAATTACAAAAATGTGATTTTCAGCTACCACTTGGCTAGCCAGCACGGGCACTAACTTTTATATTTCCCCATGGGGGCATATATGAAAGAGACACAGAATGGAGGAGAGATGAAACACAATTATCAGGACCTGGGGATTTATTCTTTCAGCTACACAAAGGAAGGGGGAGGGCAGATGGCAGCTGGAACATTCTCTCCTTGCTCTTTGCAAAAGATAGGAAAATGCTGCCCCTCATCTACTTCATTTAATTTCCTTCAGAAATGATGGCCAGGCTTATCCAGTTTATTGTACTTCCTTTCTCCATCAACTTGACCTTCTAGTCAGCCAACTGCCTTATCATCTCAAGAGTTTGTTCCAGAAATAGCAGAGGACTTTTTTTATTTTTTTTTTTTGAGGGACTTCTGAGTGAGGGCACACTGAGAAACTGCTCCATCTTGGCTGAGCAAAAGGCTGTAGTTAAATGGCTGGAATATCAGAGAAACAAATACATCCTTTTTCTGTCCTAGTCTATTGAAAAACCTTAAATGTAGCAGATTTAGACCAGAGAGTAACTGCATAGCAGCAATCAAATAATAGTTGGTCTGAAAAGGGCAAAATAACTGGGGATGGTTCAGGTGTTGAACTGAGAACACTACTTCCATCCCTTTTCTCTCCCAATTCTCTGAGTGGTCTACCAAGACAAAACACAGTTGATTTTTATGAGATGGTTTGGCAATCATCATTTTTGATTCTGGACACAGTTTCATGAGGACAGAGAGAATCTGGTTAAACCTTTCCAAAGGTTTGTATTTCAAAGATGTTGGTGCAGATGCATGTATGTGCAAGGCATTTTTCACCGCCTTCCCTACATGCAACACACATGACTTTCTAAGGGTACTGAACTAAGGTTATTACTTCCAAGATATTATTACATAGCTAAGAGAACCTGGTCTTGACCGGCTCATGGAGTTTTTTAGTCCAGTGTTACTCAAACTCTAATGTGCACATTATATCACCGGGGTTCATGTTAAATGCAGGCTACTGATCAGTAAGTCTTGCCTAAGAGTCCACATTTTAAACACATTCCCAGGTAATGCTGCAGTTACTGGTTCATGGACCACACTGAGTAGCCAAGGGCTGGAAGACATCTGTACTCAAGTGCTGAAGGTGTCCAGCATTGACCAGAATGCTGTGTTGTCTGATAATTCTTTACCCAAGAAGGCAGTGAGTGTGCAAGCTGGGCTTACCAGTAAAATCTGTTAGGGGTGATGCGTTCATGCATGAGTTGCCATCGTCTTCCAAAGTCCATGGAGCTGTAGAGCTGTAAAACAATGCAGTAAAGAGAATATAAGCATTGAGGGGCACTAGTTCACATGACTACAGTGTCTCCACCTTGGAGAAGAACATTCCAACATAAAAGGGAGCCCGACATTGAGTAGGCATCTATTTTATCCCCATAGAGGTGTATGACAATGAGCAGGCTGTGCTTATCATGGTGCCTTTGAGCACCAAGCAGGTGCTCAATAAATATCCCATAGACTGCTGTTTTTTAGTTGAATATAAATTCATTTTTGATGCTATCCCTCATTCTCTCCTTTAGGAGTAAAACCCTTTACGGAAATATCTTTTTTTTTTTTTTTGTTCTTCAAATTTCACAAAATCTTTAGTTATATCTAAAAGTAATCAAACAACATTTATTTAAAAATTATTTACTGATCCACTCTGACATGTAAAACTCTGCCTATCTGTGAAAATAAGAAAGAGATATTTTCTCTCCTTATAGGGGAAATAGGACACATATGTAAAAAATGTTCATGAGCTGGGGCCTGAATCAGTATGATACACAAAATATTGTACTTTTTCAGTTTATCTCTTTCTATATGCATGAGTTGAAATGGACTCTTCAAGCCAATGAAACGCAATGAACTCAATGAAATGGACTCTTCCATCTATTAAAGAATCTAGGGTCATTTACATTCCCATATTTTTGCAGTAGGTTGAGGGTGAGGCCACTGATGTCTAAGGGAAAACTACCCACCCAAGCTCGGTCAGGACAAGTGTGGCTTCCTTCACAAAGTCATTCCTGACTACTTCAGTCACTCATCTTTCTTCCTTTTCAATTCACTGTACTCATCTTTTGCTTTGATCAAAACAAAACACTTACCATGGGGTAATATATAGTCATGTCTTTCAGATTTATCTGAATTATTTATTTGTGCTTCCATTCCTTGAATACATATACAGTGTTTACTAGATATCTGTTGCCTAAATCAATAAAATCTGGCAGGTAAGCTTGGAGAGCAACCCCTTGAAGAAGAAATTCCAGAACTTCCCCAAGATTTTGAAAAAATAAAAAAGAATCCCCTGCGTGGTTAATAGAGTTGCTTATTTTAAAGAAGTAGTCTGTGATTCTTCTGGATCACATAAGGGAAAGCCCTACATTGCCATAAGAGACAAGTCAGAAGCATGTGGTTTATTTTCAACAGAATGTCTGGGAGTACACTATGTGATCAGGGTGATAATGTGATAATAATCACAATAATATAATAATAACAACAACAATAATTACACCATGTTGTTCTTTGTCACACAATTGAGCCTTACAAAAACACTCATGTATAGAAAACCAGGTTGTCAATTCTGATAAAGTTGATCACATGTTTATATTCAACCACACAAACTCCACATCAACACTCACAGCCAAACTGGGCTTTCAGTCCATGAGTAAGTATTAACTACTCTGTGTGTCCAAATCTGTGCATGGGAAATACAAGCAAAATTATTCCCTTCATTCCTCATTCCTATTTAGTCACTGACTCAGTGAATAAAACAATACTAATTTTATACCAGTCAATTACGAATCACATCTCATTCTTCAGGACGGAAAAAGGGTACCTGCTTCCTGACCCTCAAATGTACACAGAGGCAAAGCATGTCAGAGAGGAATGTGGGGTAAAGCTAAAGCCCTACAAGTTGAGAGATATGAAAAAGATTAACACAGGTAGAAGTGGAACAATTAGGCTTCCTAGAGTAATGGATCTAGACCTTTAAAAGTAGTATGGACAGGGCCTCCCTGGTGGCACAGCAGGTTGAGTGCAGTGCTGTGAGGCTGTCCGCAGCCTCTGCAGCACAGGTTTGATTCCCGGCCGGCGAGGGAGATACCCACATGGCACAGCAGACCTCTCCAGTCTCACCTGCTGCTCCCCTCAGCAATGTCTTCAGCCCATCTGCCTGTTCTGCTCCCCGCTCTGTCTCTGATGAATTCTCTCACCCTCCCACACTCTGGTCTATACCCCAGTTCTTGTATAAATAAAATAAATCTTTAAAAAAAAAGTAGTGTGGACAGGCAAGAAGGTAAAGAGATATTTTACTGGACTGAGAGATGAGAAGAGCAAAGGAGTCAGTTTTTTCAAGGCCTTGGCTTGTGGGGGAGCATTTAAGAGAAAAGGTGAAAATGATGACTATCATTGGACAAAAAGAAGTAAACTGTGTCCATCTGTCTATCCACTCATCCATCTATCTCTTTGTGAATGTTTCTATATCTGTCCGTATATAAAAATTAAAGTGGAAAGGTGGGAGGAAGAGAGTTTGTGAGGAGCAGACCATCCCATTGGGAAGAAAATGTCTGCATATTTTATTTCAAGGACCAGGTTTTCCATACCGGGTTTTAAGAAATGGATCACTTCCCTTCCCACAGCAGGTGTCTGAGGGACAGATGCTCAGACTTAAGATACATGTTTCCCAATTAAGAATTTAATTGGAAGCTCTCATAACGCCAAGATAGACTCTCTGCTCTGATTTCAATCATAGCAAATAGAACTCCAAATTATAACAAGTAAAAGCCAGCACAATTGTGTTGTTCTCTGTGGCAAACTCTAGAGACAAGCTAGGGAAATGCAGGAGGGTCACGCTGACACTGTGGAAGCATCAATCTTCTGGGTCAACTACTGGACCTCCCATCATGGAGGTTCCAGGCGGTGGAAGAGTTCCATCTCGTGTGGCTCCTGCTGAGGCTCGTGCGGCTCCTTGAGAGAAGTGTGACTCCCTATCCTATGGTCTTCCTAACAGAAAGCCCAAGAGATGCCTGCTGATCCCAACCGGGCCTGCTCCAATTCCTTTCTCCCCATAGCTGGTTTTGCTTTTTCGGCTCTTCAGTTTGAATGATGGGTGAAAAATTAAATTGAATTCTCTGCCTAGAGGCTGATTCAGATGAACAGAAAGAGCAGGCATCTATTCATTAAGGGCCTTGGTTTAGCTACTTTGTCTCTCAATCTACAGCAAGTTGCTGAGTCTGAAACAAATTTGATCATACCACAAGTTGGATCTTTGCAGCCTCTCCATTCATACATTTGTTCATCTATTTCTTCATTCACTTACTTGAATTGTATCAAATAATTACTTGTATCAAATAACTTCTTGTATTAAAGCACTGAATGAAATGCTGAGTTTAGAAAGGCTATAGCATGCCAAAAACAGTGGAAAACAGAAATGAAGACAACTAACTATCATGGAATATATCAAAATATTAATATTAGTTATCTCTGCAATGGTAAGATTGTGGACAATTGGTATTTTCTTCTTTTTCTTATCTAGACATGTAAAATTATTATGGACATGTAGTGATAATAAGTTTGGTGTTAAAAATTAAAGCTCTAACAAATAGAAATAAAGCACATTCAATAAGTAATAGATTATTTAATGATATAAAAATTTTATGCTCTATTATTTATTTTAAAAATATATTATAAAATGAGCATGCATTGATGTCAATTTTATTTAAAATATGCTAAAGTTTGAAACATATTAGAAAATATGGCAAAACATTAGCAGTGGTTAACTCTGAGTTGTGGGATTATTGGTAATTTATAAACTTTTAAAAAATATTTATTTATTTATTTATACAAGCACTGGGTACAGTCAGAAGCACAGGAGGGTGAGAGAATTCACCAGAGCCAGAGTGGGGAGCACAACAGGCAGACTGACGAAATACACTGCTGAGGGAAGCAGTGGGCGCAGCATGAGAAGTCTGCGTGCCATGTGGAACCCTCGCCGGTGGCCTGGGAACGAACCAGCGCTGCAGAGGCTGCAGGCAGCTTTGCAGTCTAGCGCTCAACCACTGCGCCACCAGGAGAGGCCCAATTTATAAACTTTTTTAAAGCTTTCCATCATTGTCTGATTTCTTTACAATGGACATATATTTCAGTAGTAATCCAAGTCTATATTTTATTTTATTCCCCATATATTTTATTTTAATAATGCTTTGATTATAATGTATATCTTATATATCTATGTCTTAAACTACCTCTTAAAAGGCTAAGAATTTAAGTTCCTTCTTTAAAAAAATATTTATTTATTTTTGCACAGAGAACTGGGGTGTAGGCCAGAGGTGCAGGAGTGAAAGGATTCACCAGAGACATAGCAGGGAGCAGAACAGGTAGATTTTTACTGAAATACACTGCTAAGGAGTGCAGTAGGCGTGACAGGAGAGGTTTGCTGTGCCATATGTGGGTCAGCTCCCTGGCTGGGAATCAAACTCAGGCCACAGCATTAATAACACTGAGTCTTAACCCCTAGGCCAGTTAAGGGGGCACTAAAATCTTTATCTTTTTTCTTGCAGGAACTAAAAGCAATGTGGCATTTCCATGAAACTGTGTTTCACAGAAGTTATTATGGATAGTGGGGAATCCTTCTTTGGACAGGCAATACGTTAACTCACATGGAGTTCATATGATCCTTCATGGTTTCAACTCAATGTGTCTCAGCAAATTACAATAAAATGGGTAATCCAAATAATGAACAGACTTTAAAATGCCTCTGCTAATGTGAAGTTATATATCTGAGACCACGTTCTCTTCCAAATCCCACCCCGCCAAATGCATGTTCCTGCAAGGATATCATTCCTGGATTTTTACCAGAGAACAATCCACATCCCTTCTCCCTAGTATATCTTATCTCTTAATAAGCAGGTATTCAGCAGCAATGTACACTCATACCCAGAGCTCTAAACGAATCATTGGAACAGCTGGAAACTATGAAAGAACATGTTCTTTTCCTTATAGATTCAGTTATTAGTTCCCTAATTACATCAGCCTGCCAGCAAAAGGAATCTGGTATGTGAAGAACTAAAGAGGCAATTTAATCAGCGTAACATTTCACAGGAAGAACAACAGGTCGTATGTGCAAAGTTTAAGTTTGAAAAATAATATAAAAGCATTAAGAGGTTATAGACTGGATTGTACCTCCCCTCCCAGGAAATATATATATATTCATAGATCGAAGTCCTAACCCTCATGTCTCAGAATATGACCTTATTTGGGAATA